TTTCCTTGAGACAATTGCAAAGTCAGTTCATGACCACCTGAGGGAAACCATACCATCTGGAAACACCCAGAGAAAAGATGCTTCACAATTCTGATGTGTTTTCACTGAACTAGAACGCATCGGATAGTTTATGGGAAATCCAACGTGCCAGTAAAACTACCCGCTTCACATAACCCTCTATGAGCCATCAGAAAGTAAATGGGATGATGATATGAACTGTTTATTGAAATGACTGAGGGTTGCCAGATACGGCATTACTAAGTTAACATTTTGGTTACTGAATTACAAAGAACATTAAGGAATCTGCGTAGCTTCAGACAAGCTGAAACAAAACAAAAAAATGCATTGCACTTTGATTGCACCCAGTTTGAAAGGGAAAAATTTGGAGTGGAAAAAGAAACCCATTTCACAATCTCTTGTCTAATTATGAACCAGGCTCCAAATGTTATGAAGTTCCAAGTCAGCTCGTAATTAGTTTTAGCTGATACTTAGCAAAAATTTGACAGACATGGAAAAGGCTTCTCTTGGCCCTTTGACAATGCCCTGCAAGAGCTAATGGTTGTTGAGCTTTCCGTTTCTGGGTAGTTTTTAGAGCTATTCTTACTAATGCCCCAGAGATGGCGGGAAATTATTCTTGCTAGCAGTTTTTGTTTCTTGTTACAGGTAATCCTCAACTCAGAATTGCAATAAGGATCGAAAAATTCATCATTGAGAATGTGGTCTTCAAGTGAGGCATCACATGACCACACCCAGTTTGATGACCTTTTAAGCCACAGTCACTAAGCAAATAACCATGGTTGTTAAGTGAGATATCAGGTGATCAGGACTCGCCATGTTCCTTGCTGGCTTCTCCATTGACTGCTTGTTGGAAACCAGCAAGAAGGGCGGTAATCACATGACCGCAGGGATGCTGTGAAAGTTATGAGTGCAAGTACTGGTCATAAGTCACTTTTCTAACATTGTTGTAACTTCAAACAGTCACTAAACAAATGTTCGGAAATCAAGGTAAACAAATGGTCAGAAATAACTGCATTTATGTAAGTCAGAAGCACCAGGCTTTGTTACTCTAACCGACCAGGCTCAAATAATCCAACTTCACATATATTATGAGAAGAACTCTCTGTCTAGAGAAAACTCTACCGCTGGAAAAGGTAGAAGGAAAGGAGAAGCAGAGGAAGACAAGTAGCAAAGTGGAGGGACTCAATTACAGTGAAGATGAGTGCACCACTGGAAGGGCTGTATTAGGGACCAATTGTCAAGGAGAAAACCAATCTTTCTGGCTACTAATAGAACAACCTGATAGCACATAATCATCAGTCATTGTTATTGACACATATGAAGGAAGCTGTAGTGATGGTAGTAGTGATGAAGAAGGTGATTAGGAAGACCCTATAATACTACTTTTATTCATTAGGACTTCACCTTAATGAGCAGAAAGCTATACAGTATGAAAGGGGGATTATGAAATGAATGGTTTCCTGGCTTAGGCACAATCACAAAGGCAACAAGAATTAGCACATGGATGGGCCTGACTATGAATTATTCATATATTGTGTTTAGATGGGAGCTTTACAGTATATCCAATATTAATTTATCCCCTTAAAAAACTGCCATCTCAATTAACCGTGCTAGAAAATCATGCCTATTCTTAAACATTATTTTAGGGTTGAAAGCAGTCCTTGGTTTATCAACTAAATATGGAAAAATACACATTGTGATACCCTTAACCCTCCTCATCGAGTAGTTCCATGTGTAGTTTTTCATCCTGTTGCAATGTCTATCCAGCATTAACGTAAGCTACGAGACACACACAAATCAGCATAAGTTACAGCTTTTAAGGCACGTGTCCCATGAAAACTATTGCTTCTTGCTGATATAAAATGAATGGGTGATTGTAAGGCTACCTTACCTGGAGCAGGCAAAATCTTTTTTTTTTCCATCTTTTTTTTTCCAGTCACAATGAATGTAAAGGATATGTCAGCTGTTGGTTTTGGAAGGGAAGTTGTTGAGGCCAATGGAATACAGGGTGGACTTACTTAAATGCTTGTTACATGATGCCAAATTTACATCAACAATCATTCAGCCTGTGCTTAATCTCTTATTTATCTCTACATTCACTTCCTTCCCAGATTCTATTCTTTCTATTCTGTTGATGTTGGATGCCTTCCTGGGTCTGTCTATCAATTCTTAAACATGTTACTGCCTAAGAAGGTTACCATTGTTAAAAAAAGATCCCCAGCAAGGGATTTTTGAAAGCATGTACAAATCTCCCACCGTAACCATATAGAATGGTAACCGAGGAGATACAAGGTAAATAAGTACATTGCACATGGGATTTCTTTCCCATTGGTACTGCATGATGATGTTCATGAAACAGACATATCAAAGGTGGTACCACTTTTAACGTTACTACTGAGCTAGGATACATCTTCATGCCTAAAAATCGTACAAATAATATTCTAAGACTTCTTTCAACAATAACTGCATCTGATACTGAAAGCCAGAATTTCATCAAGCTGGAATTCCAATGGAGGAACACAAGTACAGTTTATTTCTGTATTTTCCCTTCTGTTTTATTGTGCAATCATTGTTGATGAAAGCAAAGGGCTTGTGCTTCTTTTTCCAAACTTAAGACAAAAAAGACAAGATCAACAATATGTGTGGCAACTAGGCCAGCACCAGGATTGAGGGTTCTTAGCTTTGAAAGTACTTGAAAGTCAATGTTAAGAGCCTACTGACTGCTTAGGGCCTTCAAACAGCACCCTCAATATGATATGCCTTGAGGGCAGGTTATATTCACCATTTACTCTTATTATTCCCCATAACCTTGGACAAGATACCTAAAGAGTGCCATGCTGGAAAAGACAGCTTCTCAAAAAATGTAGGAAGTTAATACAGTGGCTGCTTGGCTGCATGAAGAGAAATTATATTTAAAATGGAGAAACATGGTATAAGATTCATTTATGACATACAGTAGGCTTCATCACAATATTTTGTACTTTTGTGTTGAGGTTGCGACATCACAGATTGATATCATTCAATCATTATTGTGCTAATCCCCTTAGCCACTCTGCCTGCCCACTGTCAGATGCCCATGTTTTCTGCATTCTGCTCTTCCATGAATTCAGCCTAGGATAGCATATTCAGGATTCCCCATTTTTCTTCCTCTCAGCAATTTTACAAACTAGGTTTTTTCCTTACAAATTTTTTGACAAGACTTTGATCAATACACTGGAGAGGCTGGATCAAAAGCTAAGGAATTTTTAAACACGCTCACCATGATTTCTGCATCTACAGTATTAGGAACAAGTGATTCTAGAAGCAGTAATACTGCAAACACCGTGATATTGTAACACTGATTGTGTGCAAACATTGTGAGGAGGAATGGGTGACAAATTAAAAAATAATATTCAGAACTGCCTTTCTGGCAGTATAGATGTATCCTGCTGGAGTGCTAGAATGAGCAACTCTAAAAGTACTTCATAAGCTGGAGGGCTGTGTATAATTTTAAGGCTTGTTATTATTATTAAACATTTATGTAGCTCTTTAATTTGCATATTTAATTGCATGTAATTAACACCACTCACATATCCAGTCCGCTTGAATCTCTCCGATACCAAAGTGGAGATAGCAGGCAAGTTTTTCATATTTTTTACATATCTGCCCTCAGATATTTCTCAAAAGAGTAAGCTGAGCTTTCAAAACTGGTAACAGGAAACATTTACTATAAGATTTTTTTTTAATGACTCAAAACAGTACATTTGAAAGTATTATTTTTCTTCCTTTTTGCTACTATATTTTCAAACCAAATCATACAATGATAAGGACTTAAGCTTCCAAGTTTTCATATTCTAGATCAAGGCTGTCAAACTCCTGGCCCGCAGGCTGGATGTGTCAGAATGCGTCCAGAGGTGATACTCAGCCAATTCTGACCGGGCTTGACGGACTGGTAGGGAAAATTTTGACTGGTTTGGAGAACCGGTAGGAAAAATTTTGACTGGCTTCGCCCACATGCCCTCACTCTTACCTCTCCAACCTATATTCTGT